GGGGAAACAACCATACATACCTAGTGTAGTGGTCGACAAAATTGACATAATACTTAAACTCTTCAACCGAAGTCGTTGACGAGCTCCACACATCTGTGTAAACCAATTGCAACGGACGGGTACTAGACATTGATCTAAAGGAAAATGGAATTTTGTGACTTTCATTGATGTGACAAGAGGTACACGCAAACATTTTAAGTTCGTCAGGCTTAAAATATACATTATTATTTCTAAGCAAACGAGCCAGAATATTTGAACTAGGGTGACCAAACTGATGATGCCAGCGTGACAAAGAGGACTTGGTGGTTATATTCACTTGAAACCGTTGAGCTGGGAAGCTGTAGACATCACTCACGACCGGACCCTGTACGAGAGGAGTTCCCGATTACCGATCCTTGACAACAAAATTCGTGTCAAAGAATTCAACCGAGACAGAGTTAGTCTTACACAACTTTGAAACTGAAATAAGATTTTGTTGGAGACTAGGAACGCACAATACATTAGACAACAGAAGTGACCGACTAGTTGAAGGAATTGAAACTGACCCAGTATGTGAGATTCGGAGTGACTTACCATCACCCAGCATTACCTCATCAGGCCCGGTGTAGTCCGACAGTAAGTGTAGGGACATGGCATCATTCACTGTGTGATGCGAGGCCCCTGTGTCCATGAGCCACGATTGTGCGGGCGGAGTCGTGGTAGAAGTAGTATGAACCGTAGGGGATTGACGCCCGATACCATGCGGCTCGAGTACTGCCACATTATTTTCTTTTAGAAATTTGGCTAGCTTCCTGCAAAATTTTGTGTCGTGCCCAGGATAGTCACAGTAATTGCAGTATCTTGCTGGCCTGTTCCCAAAAGACCGTGACTGGTTATGGCGGCCCCCTAAAGACATGAAGCCACCTCGGCCTCGCCGATTGGTGTTTTGTGGGTCAGCCGAGCCATTAAAACGCCGTTGAGTAGCGTTAGCAGTCGGCATATGAATTTGGGAGGCTGTTTCACTATCTTTCAACAACCTCTCGTAGTCGGTGAGCACGTCATGCAGTTCACCAAATGAAACAGGATCTGTGCGTACCCGCAGAACTGCCACAATCGGGTTGTATTCATCGCCCAGTTGCGTGAATATATGCACTACGAGGTCTTCTTCAGCGACAGGGCTTTGAGCAAGGGCCAGGTCATCGGCAATGGCTCGAATATCCCTCATATACGACTCAGTTGACTCGGTTGGCCTTGGGGTTTTTGGCTAGTTTCGCTTTCAACGAAACTACTCGACTCCGAGACGTAGCGGCACAATTAGTGGACAGACGAGTCTACGCATCATGCGCAGAGGTGGCAAACGAAATGACCGGTTGCAGCACATCGGAGAGACTACCCAAGATCGCGCTGAGAATAATCTGGTCCTGTATGAACCAATTGGTGTAGGCCGGATTCAACGCAATGCGAGCTGCATCGGAATACTTAGCCGGGGCAGCTGTGGAACCGGTAACATAGCCAAGCAGGTCAAGGCCGATAAGAGTGGATTCAACCTGCTTCTTCCAAATCGGAAAATTGGCTAAGGTAAGTTTGATTGGGAGGTGGGTGGTGGCATGAACATGAACGATATTTGAGGTAGTGGAAGCAGCCATGGGAAATTAAAGAGAGGGGGGTGAAAAAAAAATTGATTATTTTCTCGTTAGAGTAATGGTTGTGATACCATGTGTGAAAGTGAGTTTCAGTAATTTATTGATTGTAACCACAAGAGTTTAAATACTCATACAAAGCCAAAAAGAAAGGAACAATTACACCTGAACCTTAAGACTAGGAAAAACAAATAAACACAAACCAGGAAAAAATAAGAGGCCTAGACTAAATCTTAACACATTTGAGGGGGGGGGGGGGTTTACATTTTTTGTATTTAGGGTTGGGGGATGTTTCCGACGGGGGTTTTGGACGGGTGCGAGTCTGGGCAGCGGTGGGTGGCTGCGGTAGGTAGTAGTCCTGGCGTGTCCGAGTGGTGGGGTGGGGAGTGGTCTCTTGAGGTATCCGGTCCGACTGTTTGCATGTCGCGGTGACGGGGGCTTATTTTTTGTTTTTGTTTTTTTTTCCTTTTTTTTTTCGAGTTATGGTTGGTGGTCGGGGTGGGTTTTCTGGTTCGGCGTTTCGACCAAGGGAGGGGGTGTAGTTTGCAGGGTTGTTAGTTAACATTATACTCGGTTCCGCCATATTATTAATGATGTTTGATCAAATTTTTCATGAGTCATTCATTTTGCTGTCAAGTAAACTTATTAACGGTTTTCACGTTCACATTAGTTATTAAAGCTTTTGGAAATGTTTTTTGTATTTCTCTTTTGACATCTACTAAAAATTTGGCAAGACCTCTTCTAAGTTTAGGGTGCATATGTGTAGTATGGTTGGTGCATTGGTGAATTAGGTGTGTGCATATGATTTCGACGGTGGTGTGTGCATAGGTGTGAGATATCAATTTGTGGTATGTGTCCTGATAACTAAAGTGTCAAGATGCAAGATATAGAATCTTAAGTTGATTGATGTAAAAAAAAAATGAACGAATTCTAATGAATTCAGGAATGCAATGCCCAGATGAATCAACTCCCAATATGCACAAGTGAAATTCCTTGTCATTGTTAAATGTCAAATATAGGAGATTTTTTTTCTTTTTCAAAGCAGAGTTGTAGGTTTGGCATCAATGGTTTTGCAGGCTTGGGAGAGTTTCAGTAGAATGTGTAGCTTTGAAATCCTTTGATCAAGTTGAGGGGGGTAAATCTTGGGTTTACCATGGTTCACCAATTGACTAATGTGTGTATACTCCATATTTCTTTATTGCATGTTTCTTTAACTTAATCCATTTACTTAGTGAAGTATCATAATTCAAGGAGGTGGACCTCTCAAATTCCTTAATTCTCATTGACTTCATTGTATGCTAAGGATGAAATTGGGGAATCATTGAGATTAAGTTGTCGGCCAAGATATGATTTTGTTGACATGGCGTGTGTGCATAGTCGTTGCACATATTTATTTATGCATATTCGTAATGTAATCCTTCAGCGTAATATATACATTTAACTCTAGCATCTATTTACTTTGTTTACTTGTTATCTTCGTTTAGTTTAATTGTTCTGTGGACTCTTTCAGCATAACGCACACATCTAACACCGAGAATGCACACACACGGTCATTACACTCCTTCGCTCAGTGAAATGCACACTCAGTTAATCGCTCATGCACACACCACCCTACAATGGTGTGCCCAGAGTTATTAATTGTTACACTATTCATTAGTGACTTCCCAGCCCTACAGTATTTTGCACACGCCCAGATGAAGTAACGCACTCATCCAAATCGTCAAAATCTAGATGTGTGCGCTAAAGTTGGTGGGTGTGTGCTTAGCTGCATGAATACACGCTCACACTAAATAACAATTTTTTTAGTTCATTAAAAACAAATAAAAAAATAACAACGGCATGCTAAAGTCCATGGCTCATTAACTAACACATGCCATACAACACCCATGCACACATCACTGTGATTCGCACACCTAACTACACACCTATCTTTTCCTTCGCTTATGTTTCCTTACTACATTTAGTTGTGTACCCTACTACTCATTGAAGTTATTTTGATAGTGTTAGATGCTCCCAAGGTGGAGGAAATGGAAGCCCAATCAAGAGAACAAGTCTTCATGATCTGTATGAGAAGCATGTCACCCTGTTACAGATCTAATTCCATTGATTGAGAGCGGTGTCAGAGGCATTACCAGCAATCTTGCAGTAAAGTGCTTCCTTGCTAATTTCTTTGACACGAACTTCCCCTCTTCCATTATTGAATTATTGATTTATGAATGTGAGTTTGAGGCTTTGAGTAGTTTTTCGGCAGTATGGTAGAAAGTCAAAAATGCATAATTAATTTATCCATAATGCTTAATGCCTTATTGAGTTATTGGTAATGCTTTTAGTCTTTTAGACGGCTAAGTGAGGCAGTGAGAGTCTGCCTAATTTATCCATTATGCTTAATGCCTTATTGAGTTATTGATAATGCTTTTAGTCTTTTAGACTTGCTAAGTGAGGCAGTGAGAGTCTGCCTAATTTGTGAGGCAGTGAGAGTTTACCTAATTTGTGAGGCAATGATTAATTTTTCTAATTTTCTGAGGTAATGAGACTTGCTTAAGCCAAAAATGCATAATAATTTTTCTAATTTTGTTCTTGTTCTAATTTTCCTAAATCTTAGTTATATTGTATTTTATTGGTTCAGTTATGAAAAAATTTTCAAAAGAAAATCAACTTTTGGGGATTCGTCTAGTCAAAGTAGTGGCGAAGTGTCAAATACAAGGCCTCGTATTGAAGTTAACATAGCTGAAATTGAAGTTGATCCGAGTAAAAGGAAAAATATATATGAATATCATATCAATGATAAAGATATTGTGCGGAGACGATATCTACAAATGGGTCCTTGTCAACCAAAAAATCATGTATTTCTTACTAGAGTGATTACCGGTGCTAATAGAAGATTTAATCCTAAATGGTTTGAAGTTTATAGCAATTGGTTGGAGTATAGTGTATCGGAAGATGCAGCATATTGTTTATGTTGTTATCTATTCAAAGATGAAAGTAGTGGACAACAAGCTGGGGGAGAGTCATTTGTTACAGAAGGATTCAACAATTGGAAAAAAGGACTGGAAAGGTTGCGTGCACATGTTGGTAATCATAATAGTGTTCAAGCAAGGAACGTACAAGCTTGTCGAGATTTAATGACTCAAGAGCAACACTTACAAGTTTGTGTATCAAAACACTCGGAGCAATCGAAACAAGATTACTGTGTTTGATTGACTTCATTAGTTAAATGCATCCAGTTACTTTTAAAGGCAAAGATTTGCTTTTCGTGGAAATGATGAAAGCTACGACTCTCTTAATAGGGGAAACTTCCTTGAAGTCTTAAAGTTTCTTGCAGATAATAATGAAGATGTTGCCAAAGTAGTGATGTGAAATGCACCTGAAAATCACCAAATCATGACTTCTCCTTGCATTCAAAAAGATATAGTTAATGCAATTGTAAGTGAGACAACTGAAATGATAATCAATGATCTTGGTGGAGAATTATTTGCAATAATAGTTGATGAGTCAAGAGATATATCAGTGAAAGAGCAAATGATTGTGTTTATTCGGTATGTGGATTCAAGTGGGCATATTATTGAGCGTCTTCTTGGAATTACTCATGTTCGTGATACTACATCTATGTATCTTAAAGTAGCAGTTGAAGATCTTCTAACAAGACATGGATTAAGCATTTCAAGAATACGAGGCCAAGGCTATGATGGAGCAAGTAATATGCAAGTTGAGTTCAATGGTCTTAGGACTTTGATACAGAATGAGAATCCAAGTGCTTTTTATGTTCATTGTTTTGCTCATCAACTACAACTAGCACTTGTGGGTGTTGCAAAGGAAAATAATGATGTTGGAGATTTTTTTGTCATTGTCTCGCAATTGTGCAATATTGTATGTGTTTCATGTAAGCGCAGGGATAGCTTACGAGACAAACAATTAAAGATGTTGATTGATTCAATTTCTGCTGATACAATTGAAATGGGAATTGGTTTGAATCAAGAAGCAGTTTTACAACGGCCTAGTGATACACGTTGGGGATCTCATTATGGTGCACTTGTGAGCATTCTGAAATTATTTTCTCCAGTGAGTGATGTTCTTGACGAAATAATGCAAGATCCAAAACAAAAGCTAGAAGCATTTAGAGTATTGAAGAATGTTCTATGTTTTGATTTTGTATTCTTTTGCACTTAATGAAGGATGTTTTAGGAATTACTAATGACTTGTCACAGGCATTGCAGAAGAAAGATCAAAACATTGTGAATGCCATGAGACTAGTTGATGCCTCAACACAAAGATTGCAAATGATGAGAGATGATGGGTGGGAAGCTCTTTTACAAGAAGTTTCACTATTTTGCAAAAAGCATGCAATTCCCATACCTAATATGGATGAAGTTTATGTAGTTCCTGGAAGACCTCGTCGTAATATTGAAGAAAGAACTCATCTTCATAGATACCGTGTCGAACGGTTTTGTGTGGTCTTAGATCTACAATTCCAAGAGCTAAACAACCGTTTCAATGAGAAGAATACAGAGTTGCTCTTATGCGTGGCATGTTTTGATCCAAGGGATTCATTTGCTATGTTTGATAAGGATAAGTTAATTCGATTGGCACAGTTCTATCCAAATGATTTTTCTGATATTGAACTTGAAGTACTAGATAACCAACTACAGACTTATTTTATTGATGTAAATTCTGATCCTGATTTCTCTAAATTGGATGGTATTGATGAATTAGCTCAGAAAATGGTGGAAACGAGAAGACATTTGGACTATACGTTTGTGTATTTGCTTCTAAAGTTGTCTTTGATTCTACCGGTTGCAACTGCTAGTGTGGAAAGAGCATTTTCTGCTATGAAGTTAATTAAGACATCTTTACGCAACCGGATGAGTGATGATTTATTACATGATTGCTTAGTGCCGACGTGCCGTAGGTTGAAAACGATATTTTTGATCAAGTTTCAAATGAAGCAATTTTACAGTGATTTCAAAATATGAGAGAGCGTAGAGGACTATTACATCGTAGTTTATCATAAACTTTGTATGGTAATTTATAATGTATTTTGATTTTAACAATTGTATTCGTATTTGATATTTTGTATTTGAACCTTGTATTTGAACATTTTTAAGTTTACGTTGTCTTTGCTTCTTCGCCCCCACTCAACAAAAATCCTGGCTCCATCCCTGATTGGCTGTTCGTCTAGATGATTATTTTTCTGTAAAAGTTAATTTCTTTATTGGTTGTAGGCTTGTAGCATGAGAAAGGAAAAAGTTGGCTTTTTGAAATTTGTTTAATGTTTGCCTTTGTTTTCTCAATTTCCTTGCTGTAAAGTAGTTATTTATGTCTTCCTTCTTAAAACAGAACTGACAGAGATTTCAAGTTATAGGTTGACCTTAGAAAAATGAATCTCTGATTTCATGTTTTGCTATTCACTTCTTTAGAAAAACTATGAGCCTCTGATCATGTTCAAGTCCCTTCTGGCTTATGTTCAGCTTCTATGTGTAATTGATATTATACACTATAATTTTTGTGCTGGGTAATTTATCTCATTATCTGGGTTCTCATATCTTTTCCTTCGCTTCTGTTTCTTTACTGCATTTAGTTGTGTACTCAACTACTCATTGAAGTTATTTTGATATTGTTAGATGCTCCAAAGGTGGAGGAAATGGAAGCCTTCGATCCTGGCTCAGGATGAACGCTGGCCAATCAAGAGAACAAGTCTTCATGATCTGTACGAGAAGCGTGTCGCCCTGTTACATATCTAATTCCATTGATTGAGAGCGGTGTCAGAGGCGTTACCAGCAATCCTGCAGTAAAGTGCTTCCTTGCTAATTTCTTTGACATGAACTTCCCCTCTTCCATTATTGATTTATGAATGTGAGTTTGAGGCTTTGAAGTTACGTTTGTGTATTTGCTTCTAAAGTTGTCTTTGATCCTACTGGTAGCAACTGCTAGTGTGGAAAGAGCATTTTCTGCTATGAAGTTAATCAAGACATCTTTACGCAACCGGATGAGTGATGATTTATTACATGATTGCTTAGTGTCGTATGTTGAAAAAGATATTTTTGATCAAGTTTCAAATGAAGCAATTCTATAGCGATTTCAAAATATGAGAGAGCGTAGAGGTGTATTACCTCGTAGTTTATCATAAACTTTGTATGTTAATTTATAATGTATTTTGATTTTAACAATTGTATTCGTATTTGATATTTTGTATTTGAACCATGTATTTGAACATTTTTAAGTTTACGTTGTCTTTGCTTCTTCGCCCCCACTCTACAAAAATTCTGACTCCGTCCCTATATATATATATATATATATATATATATATAATATATATATATATATATATATATATATATATATATATATATATATATATATTATATATATATATATATATATATATATATATATATATATATATATATATATATATATATATATATATATATATAGAGGGTTGAGTTCAAATGAGGACAACAATATGTAGATGACTGTGAGGACAAATAATAGGCACACAACAAATTAATACCAGGCACACAACTTAATACATAATGGCACACAAGAATAAATGTAAACATCAAGTTTCGAACCCAGGCTCTATAAATTAACAAATCTAGCACGCGACATACAAACTGTGGCACACGACTGCATGCGGTCATGCACACGACATACCGGCTAATGGCACACACTACATCTGTCCTCACAATCCTCTATAATATACTTGTCCTCATTTGAATACACATCTATATATATATATATATATATATATATATATATATATATATATATATATATATATATATATATATATATATATATATATATATATATATATATATGGAAGGGATCAGGTGCATTTGTGGCTTCCCGTGCGGATGTGCGGTGGATTAATGTGCGTGAGGTTTATACTTAATGTGCGTGAGATTTGTACTCAATGTGCCTGAGATTTGTACTTAATGTGCGTCATGTTAATATGCGTGAGTTTTGTACTTAATGTGCCTGAGTATTGTGTTTAATGTGCGTGAGATTTGTGCTTAATGTGCGTGAGTATTTCAGAATTACGAGCTCAGAAGGAAGCAGAACAGAAACTCACGCACATTAACGTCCAAGCTTCTTGTTACTTCTTCCTCCAATTTGGCCATGGATTCTGGATTATTAGCTACATTCAGTCCAGTTGAATGTTTATATAGATGACGCACGCACAGTAAAATTTGCAGAGCAGCTAAGTGTGGATTTCTGTTGTATTATTCCCATAATTCTTAACCACCATAGCCCGCCTCCGCATCATCATCATCAGGGAGGGGGCAATGGCTACTGGGGATGGGAAAGAAGCTGACATCAATATTTTCTGCTGCATTTTACACATTCACGCACATTAAGTACAAATCTCAGACACATTAAGCACAACACTCACGCACATTAATCCACCGCACATCCGCACGGGAACCTTTCACTATATATATATATATATATATATATATATATATATATATATATATATATATATAAAGGATACATGTGAGCTGACTCAATTTTTATTAAAATTAGAAATTCAAGTGACTTGTAATACTATCATATCCAGTGTGTATTTCTTCATGAAAAATTGTACACTCATATTTCAGTCTTCAATAGTGGTCTCTGCGAGTGGTTGAACATTCTTCCGATGGCTGGCTAAGGGTGGAGTCAAGATTCGGGCTCAAGGTCGAATTCAATGAATATTCTATTATTCAAAAAAGAATTCTTAAATGAAATGAATAGTCTATTCATAATAGAGGGGTGTGGATAGAATCGAAAATGAAGATCTAGGACGGGAGTCTTATCCAATATACTGAAATTACTTCAATTTGAAATCTAGTTTAGAAATCGTTGTGTTCCTTTTTTATTTCTTTCATTTCGAATTTCATTTACAAATTGAAATTCATTTTCAATTTATTTAGTAACTTCTATTTTTTTCCTTTCTTTGTTTTGAATTGAAAATAGAAGAGTTGAGTCAATCAAAAATATAAAGGAGGTTCATGGCCAAGAGTAAAGATGTACGAGTGGCGGTGATTTTGGAATGTACCAGTTGTGTTCGAAACGGTGTTAATAAGGTATCAACGGGCATTTCCAGATATATTACTCAAAAGAACCGGCACAATACGCCTAATCCATTAGAATTGAAAAAATTTTGTCCCTATTGTTACAAACATACGATTCATGGAGAGATCAAAAAATAAATTGGTCTTTCTTTCAAACAACACAAATAAACTTCACTAAGAAGATTGTATGCCACAAGCTCAATTGAGAAAAATATTTTTCAGAAAATGAGTCATTTTCCAAAAAATATTTTAATTTTTGATGTTTGGATACACAACGGAAAATTGTCTTTGTGTGTTTGGTTCATTTTCTAAAAAATGAGTAGAAAATTGGTAAAAATTGTATACTTTAATATTTTAATTATTTGATATTTTTTATAAAAAAAATCCTCTTGTGAATAGCACTCATTAAGCCTTATGGATAATTTTAAATGTCTTTATATATATATATATATATATATATATATATATATATATATATATATATATATATATATATATATATATATATATATATATATATATATATATATATATATATATAGGTAATCGGTTCTGGTGCGGTTGTGCGGTTTAGTCTGAGCCATTTATCTCGCTTAAATCAACATCCAAGATTACCAAAATTAAAATAAAAAAACGCGGTGGCAATTTGATATTTTTTGCATCTAGGTCAAAATTAAGGTGAGTGATTTTGTGATTAAGGTGCGTGAGTTTTGTGCTTAAGGTGCGTGGGTGTTGTGATTAATGTGAGTATTTGTTAAAACTTAAAGTGCGTGGGTTTTGTGATTAAGGTGCATAAGTTTTGTATATAAGGTGCGTGAGTCTTGTGCGTACGGTGTGTGAGTTTTGTGCTTAAGGTGCGCGGGTTTTGTGATTAATATGAGTAGTTGTTAAAACTTAAAGTGCGTAGGGTTTGTGCTTAAGGTGTGTGAGATTTGTACTTAAAGTGAGTGGGGTTTGTGCTTAATGTGCATTAGTTTGTGCTTAATGTGAAACATTTTTAAATCTTAAGTGCGTGGGTTTGTGCTTAATCTGCTTTGTTCTGTGCTTAAGGTGCGTGGTTTATGTACTTAAGGTGAGTGATTTGTGTTCTTAATGTGTTTTGTTTGTGTGCTTAAGGTGTGTGGTGATTTGTGTACTTAAGGTGCGCCATGTTAATGGTTAAGGTGCGTCCAACTGCACGGAAAGCATCACCTGCACCTGAACCCTTCCCATATATATAGTTTATCTATATCACACACACAAATTATATACTATACATATCAAGCATGAGGATTGGAAAATGACTTCCCCAAAAAAAAAATAAGAAGTCATTTTCCTCCAAAACATACTTATTTTCCATTGCCTACAATATCATTTTCCGTTGACCTCATTTTCCTCCATCTTGCCAAACACTGAAAACCCGAAAACATATTCCAAAAGCTTGTATATCACTTACTTTTATAGACCTCTTATGAAGAGATCAGAGAGCTTTAATTATTACTTATGGTTAAAAAAAAAAAAAAAAAAGCAACAAATTATAAAGGATACAGATGATAAAAATTCATTCAAATTAGCAACAATACTTTAACTGAATAAGTGGGAACTGCAATATCATATCCATCTGATCTCTTCTTAAAAACTAACATAGTGAATTCGAACAACTAACCCAATCCCCAAACCCCTAGCTAAGCTAAACCCACCTTAATTTTTGGCTAGATAGTAATATACAGTCTAGTGTCTACATGGTAAAATGATAGAGGAGCTAGGTAATGAAGACTATCCTAGGATAAACTTGGCTTGAACCATACTGGTGCAGAATATGAAAACACCGAGAAATCATCCTGAGCAAGCCATTGTATCTTCCGAGTCTGGAGATTGTAAACACCAATATCATAACTTGTAGAGGAGTGCAGGAAATCTGAGCGGTCATCCGTGAAGTATATGCAATTACTATCGCAATCCGGGTATTTGTTGGTGCAGCATATTGAGAATGAGTGGTTGTTGCCTACAAAGATTGACCAGTCGCCCAACGATTCTACATCCTCCCATTTCCCCCGTTGCCCTGCAGCTCCAGCTTGTAAACATCAAAGCCCTTCGTTCTTAGATGGAAAGCTGCAAATTGGTTGTTTCTTTTATCCAACTTGACTCTGCAAACAACATATATCTGCCCATTTATTTCAACCACATATGCAGTAAAGAACTCATCATCTGGATCCAAGTCCTCTTGGTGCTCTAAGAAAACTTCCTGCAATGACGGGAGAATTATTTCCTGCAAAACGCAGCCTTGGCAATCACAAATCACCATCTCCCCCGAACAGCCTACAATATACACTTTCCCATCAAAACAAATCGCATCTTCAACACCACCAGGGCAGCATTCCAATGGCAATGGAGTCCAAGTATGACTACCCGCCTTTAGTATGGCCATCTTCTCACGGTTAGAATAGATAGCCAGAACTACAAAATCCGGGCTCGATGACAAGGCTACTTTGTTCACAAAGCTATTGCGAAATTGCCTTCTACTACAAACCAAGTTCTTCAAATTCGGCAGGGGTGGAAGCATCCGTTGTGCCCTCGTTAACGGATTCAGTAAGCCCAATCCAAAATCAGAGCCAAGAGTGACCACCCAACCACCGCTTATCACGAAGCTCCTATTTTCAAATGGATAACACACCCCACGAAAATCTGTGTCATGCTTCTGAGATAGCATCAGCCATGGAAGAAATGAGGGTCCATTTTCAACAACAACCCTACTCCATGACCGACATACCATACCAAATCTCACATAATCTAAAGCAAAATTAAGCCTATGCGCAATTATCCCCAAAGGGTCAAAACCCAAATTCGACCAATCCCCTGGTATCTGATACAAATTTTAAATTTTAAAAAATAATCACTACCTGCATTCTAGTATAGAGTCAAGCTAGAAAATTTCAGTATACATACACTTTTTCTATTAATTCAAGAACCGAGTGAAAGCATACCGTGGAGGCCGCTGGGTTCTCCTTACTTCCGTCTTTCAGGTTGCCGGAATTCTTCTCCATTTGCAGCCGAGACTGCTGGAGTCCGCTGCTGAAGCTTTTGTTTTCTCTATCGCAGCCCTTTAAGCATCCATAGTCGTGCATATTTGATGAGTTCTTGCAGAAGAAAAAAACTGATGTGGTGGACTGGTTTTTCTCCCTGCAAGAGTGAGAGTGAGGGAGAAAAACAAGAAGACAGCAAGCAAAGAAAGTTTGGAAAGAAGAAAGTGAGGAAGCCCAGCGGGCGGAAATTGCATTGGAGATCTTCACGTCAGTTTTATGGGAAATGAAACACATCATTAATTCCATTGGGCCCACATGTCACCGCATCGTTATGCTGTGCATCCGTATGTGCATACGGATTCAAAAAACGACGTCGTTTTATTAAAAACGTGCATCCCATTTTTAAACAAAAATTAAGTTTCGATTCTCCTCAACAGCATTATGTTGTTCATTCATTCTGAAATTTTAGTTCATAGATTCTGAAATTTTAGTTCATAGATTCTGGAATTTTAGACGTGAATCGAAACTGATTTTTTTTTTCATTCATGCTGGATATTTAGTTCATTCATTCTTGAATTTTAGTTCATAGATTCTGGAATTTTAGTTCATCGATTCTGGAATTTTAGTTCATTGATTCTGGATATATAGTTCAAATTATGCACAATATAATGTTGTTGCTGGAAATCGAAACTGAATTTTTTTTTTAAGTGAGACGCGCGTTTTTAATAAAACGACATCGTTTTTGCATCCGTATGCACCATGCATAGTGCATACGGATGCATAGCATAATTTGCCTCACCTCTTAGGGCATCCTCAACCGTGGAAATTTTGGTGTAGTTTTTGAGAAGTTTTTATATGTGTGATTAGGAAAAAGAAAATGAGAAGAAATTTTAAAAAAATAAAAAATAAAAACCAAAAAGAATAGAAAAAAGAAATTAAAAAACCAAAAAGTAGTCTTTTTAGACACGTGTAATCTAAAGAAAGGAGATGGGACCCACATTTACGATAAAATTCTCATTTTTGCAGGAAGCACTATCCCCCTCTCTCTTCTCTCCTCCACCTTGTTACTATTTTCTTAAAACTTGTGCACAAACCCCTTATAGCCCGTTTGGTTCACGGAATAGGCCGGGAATGGCTTAGCATTCCCAGTAATAGGCCTATTCCGTTGTTTGGTAACCATTTCTATTACCATGAATAATATTCCTGGTAATAGCCTATTACCTCAAATAAGGTAATAGCTATTACTAGGGGCCCCCTGGTATTAGCCTATTACTGAACGCTCAGGAATAGATTTTAGAATCTACTTCCTTTTTTACCCCTTTTTTAATCTAATTTTTTTTATCCTATATATAAATTTATCCTATTTCACCACCGTCGTCGTCACCACCACCATCACCGCCGCCGCCACCACCACCACCACTGCCGCCACCGCCACCACCACCACCACTGCCGCCGCCGCCACCACCACCATCGCCACAACCGTCGCCGCTCCCACCACTGCCACCGCCACCACCACCACTACCACCCCAGCACCACCACCGCCACCACCACCACCACCACCACCACCGCCACCACCACCACCACCGCCACAACCGTCGCCGCCCCCACCACCAATGCCACAACCGTCACCGTCAACCGTCACCGTTACCACCACCACCGTCGCCCCCACCACTGCCACCGCCACCACCACCATTGCCAACACCACCCAGCAGCACCACCGCCACCACCACCACCACCGCCACCACCGCCACAACCGTCGCCGCCCCCACCACCAATGCCACAACCGTCAGCGTCAACCGTCACCACCACCACCGTCGCCCCCACTACTGCCACCGCCACCACCACCCAGCAACACCACCGACACCACCACCACCACCACCACTGCCGCCACCACCATCACCACCACCGCCACCAACATCGCCACCACCACCACCACCGCCACCACTACCACCACCATCGCCACCATCACATATTTTTATAAGGGTATTTATGTCTTTTAAAACATATTCCATTTCTATTCCTTAAATCAACCAAACACTATAATATAATTCCTAAAGTCTATTCCTTCCGCGAACCAAACAATAGAATGCAATTCCTATTATATTCCTTGCCTAATCCATTCCTTATTGAATAGCATTCCTATTACCTCAAAATTCATTCCGTGAACCAAACGTGCTGTTAGAGTTGCTCTTACTCTACACCATAACATACACATTGTGAATCATTTTGGCAAAGTTTATTTAGAAGCTTACAGCTTATTTTAAGTGCACTCTTGACTAATTGATGTTTTACTGTATTTGTTTACTCTTTTTTTTCTTCCTTTTTTAAAAGTAATACTGAGTACTATGCTTTGCACAATTTTAATTTTTTTTTACTTGTCATTACGTGATAAATTTTAAACTTAATAAAACAATACGAGAATTGGAAAAAAATTCAAAGAACGGAGACGGAGACGAGACGAGGATACCTCTCCCCGCCCCACCCCCAAATAATTATTATAAAATAAATAAATAAATAAATCTACAAATAAATTATATATATATATATATATATATATATATATATATATATATATATATATATATATATATATATATATATATATATATATGCTACAGATCCAGTGAGACCCCTATGTTAAATGAGATCAAGAGATCTCATCACACCCATTAAAACATTTCCAATTGATGGTTGAGATTGAAAGAGAAATATAAACTAATTAAGGGCATTTTTAAACGAGACGGATTAAATAGTAATTGTAGTATAATGATTAATTATGGTTAGAATTAAAGTGTGATCTTTAGCATGATATGTGGGATCATATTAATAGAAATCACATGTATTAATTTGAATAGATGGCTGATGAATAAATAACGTGAGTACACTCGATTGTAATCGACAACATTTCAGACATTGTAAATGGATGGTAACTACACATGTATGGGGTTTTGTACTATTTTTTTAAGGGGATTTTTTTACGACGATGTGTGCGTTAGAACACAATAGCGTGTGCATGTTGCTAATTGTGTGTGTTAGAGTGCATTACTGTGCTGCTATAATGTTTTATTAGGTGTTTTTTTGAACGTGCAACATCGTGTGCAATTACGTAACAAGACCTTGACATGCCATTGTTATTAAATGTTTTAGTTTAAAAAGAAAAGTTTTGTGGAATAGTTAGTATTTTTTCCGATAGTGGGTACGTAGATGTGGTATGGGCGAACATATTATAAAGATGGGGCTGTGAATTTTTGTACACTCGTTACCCAAAATGTTTATGGGGTGTGTGCGTGATAACTTGTAATTGGTTTGTTTTACAAGGAATATATTGCAAAAGTAATAGTTCTTTTGTTTTGTATGCACCAGAGAAAATTTGTTTGTTGGTTTGTGAGTGATTGTGCAACAGCGTGTGCAAAGTGAATGATGGTGTGTGTTTAAATAAAAAGAGTGTAATAGTACTACGTGTTTGTGTTTTTTTGATCCATAGTCGAAAGTTACCGTGGTCTGTGCGTGTTAGTACCATGCCGCGTGCAAATGTTGTTATTTGGTGTGTGCGTGAATTCATGTTATTTTTTTCTTTAAAAAAAAAATTCTCAAAACACTTGTCCTTTGATTTTTACGGAGGTGTGTGCAATGGTGTAGGATGGTGTGTGTGCAAATTAAAGGGACGGGAACTTTGCATCATGTCGCGTGTTTTTTTTTTTTAATTGTGTTTAGATGTGTGCGTGGCTACCTGCTATATTTAGTTTTGTTTAAAACAAATAGAATGTAAAAGCATTTGCTCTGTGCGTTACTTCATGTAGTTATTGGTTTTTTTTTTTTTTAAAAAGAAATAGAATTTTACATTGGTGTGTGCGCGTTGATGTGGTCTGACGTGTGCGAATTATAGGGCTTGAGACTATCCATAATGTCGTGATTTTTTTTCTTTGTCGCACACGCTATTTCGTACCAATGCACATATCATTAAGTAATTTGCACACACCAGCACGCACCAATGCCTGGGACTACCCATAAAGTCGTGATATTTTTTTTTGTCGCACACGCTATTGTGTACCAATGCACATCACTAAGCAATTTGTAACACCCCCTAATTTCCATGCTAAATTAAACCTTAAACATGCAGATAACTAGTCATAACATCATACACAACGGAAGACTAAACATGGAATATATGAATAGGAAATAAAGGGTGCTATGCCACGCCCACTCAAAGGTGAACGCACATGCGAAACATCTACATAAATTCACAATCTAAATTCATTCAGAAACAGGAGTACTAATGTCTAACATTGGCACACAGGCCACAACGTCTCAAAATAAAGGGATCTAAGCTAATAGGTTCTAGACCACGCTCTCGTCTACTCAGCACCTGAAAGAAACATATAAGATATGGGACGACGCCCGGTCAGCGAATAATGCTGGTAACCCACCAATACATGTGAAATATCATACATAGATAGGATATACGTATGTAAAATCATTTGCGAAACGGAATATATATATATATATATATATATATATATATATATATATATATATATATATATATATATATATATATATATATATATATATATATATATATATATATATATATATATATATATATAAGTTCAAAACCAAGAGCAGAGGTTAACACAAGACTCTAAGCACTCACAACAAAAGACACGGGAACACATCCCAAGACCACAAGAAGTACTAACGACTCACAAGAACGGCTCAATGCATAATCTACCATCACACAGTATATTAACACCCGACATGCATAACACAAGAGAGTAAAGACACAACCATTGGCAACACATGCCTTTGTGACATCACACGTCACAAATAGAGAATTACACAACCACGGCTACACAAGCCTTCGTGACATCACTCATCACGAATTGATATGCCTTCCTTATACCCGGTTCCAACCTTATGGCTACCCCAACCTTATGTCTAGTTCCAACATTTACCTCCAGGACCCCTGTACACCAAGTCCAACCTTATTCCCCCGGGAACCGTCGTTCCCCCTCCAACAGTCCCTCCAACAGAACCACCGATTTCATAGTACACGAGGGTACCGATCACACATGGCAATGTTGAACACGGATGTTGTACACTTAGCACGATTCAACGAAACACAATGTTGAACACTTAGCACGATTCAAAACACCAAAACATACATGGATCCCTACCATATAGTTCTAGACATACGAAACACCAAGAAGACGCTCAAATAGTTCCACAAAAGAACATCGAGAAGTCAAAAGACCAAATACCGAGTCAAAAGAATCACGGGGAACAAATCACCGCACAAGCCTCATATGTACCTCGCGGGTGGGCCCACGAGTAGACCCCCACCCGTGGTTCCGCCCGCAGGTACCAACATCCACCGGCCATGTATCCCGCGGGTGGGGCGGCGAGTAGGCCACTGCTCGCCGTTCCGCCCGCGGGTACACCAACTGTACAAAATAATCCCTTCGGGATTTTCAACTCCAAGCTCAAATTCCAGTCCAAAACATGCCAAATCTCACCAAATACAACAAAATGACTTGAATCAACGGAATGGCCAAGCAATGACACACATGAACCCTAATAACAAGCTCTAGATATGCATTTTCACAAGACAATGCATCAACACTCACATTTCATAGCAAAATCACATGTAGAATCCAAGAATCATCAAATAGGTAAGCAAATTAGATTTTGTAGAGCATGAGTTACCTCTTGAAGACTTATCCTTCACTTACAACACTCCACAAGGCTCCCAATAAGGTTCCCTTTCCACACCCACTTCAAGAACACACCAAAACAACATGAAGATTTCACCTTTATAAAAAGATACCTTAGAAAATACTAAAAACACAAGAGGAGCTTAGATCTTACCCTCCTAGATGCTCAAAAGTATGAAAGGTAGAATCTTGAAGGCAAACTTGAAAGATCTTGGTAGCCCTAGGTGTGGCTTGGAGAGAAAGCTAACTAGCTTTTAGAGAGAAGAGAGAGAGAGCTTATGATTTTTCTCTTAGAGAGTGTTTGAAGAAATGAAATGTGTCTTCGTAGGTTAGCTTGAAAGACTATTGCCAAGGAAATGTCTTCTTTACCCTTACTAAGATGAAATGTGTAAGGGAACAAGGGAACAACTCATAAAGCTTTAGGTACAACTTTTGACTTTGGGTTGACTAGTTAATTACTAGTCCCCGACTATTGAATTTTCAGGAATTTAAGGAATTAAATTATCAATTGAATTAGGATTAATTATTTAATTAATCCCTTAATCGAATTTGGATTACGGGGTGTCACATCCTCTCCCCCTTCAAAGAAGCTTCGTCCCCGAAGCTTGGGTACGACGAATTATAACAAACGGTGAAATGAAACAGCAATGTGACAAAAGTGTTAAGAACATCCTCTCTTGGTCAAAACCCAAAGGATTCACAAGACATCAAAGCAAGCAAGAAGGTATATCGATACAAGGATTGAAAGAATTTAACCAACGGAGATATTGAGCATATCAAACTTTAAACCAAATACAACCACCAACTTCTAACCAACAACCAAGAACTAAATAACTAGCTCAAAGCACCAACCACTAAAGCTAACTACTCACTAAAAAAGCATGAAAGAACAAGCACACGAGGCAAGCAACAAACAACTAACAAGCAGTAACAACAACTAGGAGGTAACAACAGGCTGCAGAAGGATAAACAGGCTTACCACAACACCAAGCTAGAACGACTCACTCTCCGATTCATCGGTGCTTCCCTCGGACTCTTCGTCATCCCTTCCTCTACGACTTGAACTGGCCTCAATCTGATCTAGCCTCTGGTGGACGGCGACGAACTGCGTCTTCATGTACGCGAAGCCTTCTTCAATCATTCGGTTCTGTTGACGAAGCAAGGTGACTACACGCTCATCATGCGTCATGGAATCGTGCTCCCTTTTGGTGCGGGCTTCCCTTCTTCTTTGATTTTCTTCGCTTTCGGAATCACTTTCCTCGGCCTCAGCAGCTTCGGGTGCTTCCACCTCTTCCTCATGGCCTACTTCACCCTCATCTTCTACATCACCCCCAAGCTCTGGACCGCAAGGTTCAACTTTCCAGCATGAATCTCGAGCTCAACTGCAAGCTCGGTTCTTTCTTCTGGGAATTTCCTTGAAACTTCTTCGAGTGTGATGTAATCACCATCGTCCAACTGAAACAAGTTGCAACTTCGAAGATTGGTGGCATCCAACACCATCTTTCCTACGGGTTTCAGTATACAACCATCAACGCTTACACCCTTCCTGACAAGAATCCAGCTCAACACCATCCCATATGGTAGGCTCTTTCGGTTGTGATCACGGCAGAAGACCATATGTTGCAACATCAAAGCCAGCAGATTGAACTTTACCATGTTCTTAAGACAAAAAGCAAAGGTGCACTCCAACTTCCCCAACAACCGACTTTTGTTGTTATTGGGCAACAAACAATCTGACACCAGCATAACCAAAATCCTTTGCTCAGCGGACAACCACTTTTTCTCCTGTCTTGAAGCTTGAGTGAAATCACTCGTGCGACCCAACAAATAACTCAAATAGTCCCGGTACCCCATGGTGTCCGTACTAATCCACGAGTTACCACTGTACTGAGCAACTCCCGAAGTAGATAAACTCAGAAGCTGAGCTAGCCTCTTTTCAGATAAAACCACTTTCACACCCCTCACTTTAGAGGTGATTTCAAGCTTATCACCATCCTTTGTCACAACCATGTGACGATAAAATTCCTTAACCAAACTTGGGTATGTCTCGACCCTTATGGCGAGGAACCCATCTAACAACCCTTGAAATCTAAGCATATCCGACAAAGAATTAGGAAAAGATTCCGGGTCGAAAGCTTTACCTTCAAGAACGAGGTAATGGGCATCCACCCATTCCACCTTTTTAACCAAACTTAATCTTCTAGGCATGATAGGAGATGACCCAAAGCTCAATAAAAGAAGCCCACAACTTTCCTCTTCTTTTTTCTCTCTCTCGACGGCTCTCTCTCTCTCTCGTTGCTCTCCTCGGTTTCTGACGAACGCGGCTGCTCGGCGGGGGAACTTCGGCAGGCGACGGCGGCGACGGGGTCCGGCGGTGGCAGGTGGTGGTGACGGGTGGAAGGGGGTAGCGGGTTGGGGGGGTTCTTCGGCTGGTCACGGGTAGGAAGAGGGGAAAGGAGAAGAAAAATTTGGGGATTTAGGGATTTGGGGAAAAATTGGGAAAGAAGATGATTTAATTTGGGGATTTGGGTAAAGTGAAAATTTATGGTTTTAGATGGAATTAAAATTGGGTAGGTTTTAAGAAATATAATTAGTGCAAATGGTTAAGGGTTGGGTTGGTAAATAGTATACCCGGGTTTGAAACTCAAGTTTTGCAAATAAATGTTTTACTTGTCTTTTAGGCTACACAAGAAAGGATTTTTTTATGGGTTTCCTATTCCCAAAATCAAAGAATACTTGGAGAAATTTAGGTGGTTCTCAAAGGAAAGGTTTGCAAACATATTCATGTGCAAAGATTATGGAATTAACCCAAGCATGACTCATTTCAGGGATAAGCAACTAACTTTATAAAAAGACTTACGCAAAAGCTAAGAGAATTATTCATCAAAGAAGGTTTACAACTATAATCAACAGAATCATTCACTCGGGGAAATGCGTGACAAAGATAACAAGGCAACTCAAGAAGACAGCGAAGGACACAAGACAACACACAAGGGTAACAAGGAACAAGATGCGTTCTAAAGACAAGGGTAGGCTAGAAAAGAGGTTACCTGCCAGCTCCTCCTCCACTAAGCCTTCGGTCTCCGCTTGCGATCGTCCCATCACAATGACTCTCCCCGATGGCCTGGCTCCGGCTGCTCCACGGCTTGAACTACCTCCTGCTGCTCCTCCGACTCCTGGGGGTGGCGGCAAAGCCCTTTGATTGGCTTGCTGAGGGCACTCGGCAACCTTGTGGCCCCTATCTCCGCAACGAAAACATCGTGACACAAAGCCATTGCAGCTCTGACCCGCATGCACCTTCCCACATCGATGACAAGGGAACGTCTTGACTTGATTTCCATGCTCCACTCGGTTGGGCCCTTGGGTTGGAGATGATGCATTCCTGACTTGAAAACTCGGTCGCGACTTCTTGTAGGTGGAAGAGCCTCCACTCTCGGTCCTCTTTCTTGCAAGCTCATAAGACCCTCGTTGAAGCTGCTGAACACGATACAAATCCGCGGCACTCACATAAGCATCCTTCAAAGGGCTCGGCCTACTCACGGTCAAGGCCTTTCGTGCCTCATAATTCAAGCCAGCAACGAATTTCTCAACCTTGGCGAGCTCGGTAGGCACAAGCATCCGGGCAAAGCGCGCAAGCTCTAGAAACCTCTTGTGGTACTCAACCACCGATAGAGATCCTTGCTGAAGATGAAGGAATTCCTCGTACATCGCGGCTCGCACATGCGCTGGATAAAACCTCTCACGCATCCGATCTTTCAGCGCCGACCAACCAAACTCGGGCTCCTCAAGGCAGGCTGGACCTTCATGTATCCACCATAGATCGGCCTCATGATAGAAGTAGAACGTTGCAAGTTCTACCCTCCGCTCTTCCAGACAACCAACAACCGAGAAGATCTTATCAAACGTTCTCATCCACTCCTCCAAAACAACCGGATCTTCTTCACCCGCGAAGGTCGGTGGTCTGTGGCCCGACACAAGACGACCCATGTCCCTATGCCCGGCAGGTTGAGGAGGTGGCACGGGGTGGTTGTTCAGCAACGCCTCACTAAGAGTCTGCATCGTCTGCGTCAACTGTTGTAGGTTATGGGCAAGCTGCTCATTTGTCGGGGTCTTCGGAGTACGCGCACGTTGACGAGTAGGCATCGCAAACTTCTACAACAACAACACGGTTACCAACAGGACAACAAAAAAGAAAATAGCTAAAACAATGCTCAGCTCACCGCGCATCCTAGAATCCTAAGCCTAACACTTAGATTCTTAAGGTCACCTTAAGGTCTCAAACCACACTTAGCCACTTAGAAGTCTAGACTTTATCAACCTAGGCTTTGATACCAACTGTAACACCCCCTAATTTCCATGCTAAATTAAACCTTAAACATGCATATAACTAGCCATAACATCATACACAGCGAAAGACTAAACATGGAATATATGAATAGAAAATAAAGGGTGCTATGCCACGCCCACTCAAAGGTGAACGCACAGGCGAAACATCTGCATAAATTCACAATCTAAATTCATTCAGAAACAGGAGTACTAATGTCTAACATTGGCACACAGGCCACAACGTCTCAAAATAAAGGGATCTAAGCTAATAGGTTCTAGACCACGCTCTCGTCTACTCAGCACTTGAAAGAAACATATAAGATATGGGACGACGTCCGGTCAGCGAATAATGCTGGTAACCCACCAATACATGTGAAATATCATACATAGATAGGATATACGTATGTGAAATCATTTGCGAAACGGAATATATATATATATATATATATATATATATATATATATATATATATATATATATATATATATATATAAGTTTAAAACCAAGAGCAGAGGTTAACACAAGACTCTAAGCACTCACAACAAAGACACGGGAACACATCCCAAGACCACAAGAAGTATTAACGACTCACAAGAACGGCTCAATGCATAATCTACCATCACACAGTAGATTAACACCCGACATGCATAACACAAGAGAGTAAAGACATAACCATTGGCAACACATGCCTTTGTGACATCACACGTCACAAATAGAGAATTACACAACCACGGCTACACAAGCCTTCGTGACATCACTCGTCACGAATTAATATGCCTTCCTTATGCCGGGTTCCAACCTTATGGCTACCCCCAACCTTATGTCTAGTTCCAACCTTTACCTCCAGGACCCCTGTACACCAAGTCCAACCTTATTCCCCCGGGAACCGTCGTTCCCCCTCCAACAGAACCACCGATTTCATAGTACACGAGGGTACCGATCACACATGGCAACACATGCCCTGGATAAAACATGTTATCCCAGAAATAAATACGTGAACCTTACACAAAGGTCACAACCTCCATAAACACGTCATGGCCACCACGAGGACCACTGCCGTACCTTGGTGACTAATGTCCCATACCATTAATCGTGCAATCCAGGTACAGCCACACACACCACACCACAACAAGAATCAATCAACGGATCACAATGAAGATATGAAACCATACTCAATCAAGGAGTGGATCACAATCCAACTACAACGATGAATAACACAAGTTATCATCAACGATAGGAAGGTACAAACAACACACACGCTAGCATTTAAACATCGAACATTCATGCTCATCAAACGGGTAAACCGAAAGTAGTTTCGAAGAACACACAAGACTCATCATGGTTCAACGAAACATAATGTTGAACACTTAGCACGATTCAAGACACCAAAACATACATGGATCCCTACCATATAGTTCTAGACATGCGAAACACCAAGAAGACGCTCAAATAGTTCCACAAAAGAACATCGAGAAGTCAAAAGACAAAATACCGAGTCAAAAGAATCACGGGGAACAAATCCCCGCACAAGCCTCATATGTACCCCGCGGGTGGACCCCCACTCGTGGTTCCGCCCGCGGGTACCAACACCCACCTGCCATGTACCCCGCGGGTGGGGCGACGGGTAGGCCACTGCCCGCCGTTCCGCCCGCGGGTACACCAACTGTACAAAATAATCCCTTCGGGGATTTTCAACTTCAAGCTCAAATTCAAGTCCAAAACATGCCAAATCTCACCAAATACAACAAAATGACTTGAATCAAAGGAATGGCCAAGCAATGGCACACATGAACCCTAATAACAAGCTCTAGATATGCATTTTCACAAGACAATGCATCAACACTCACATTTCATAACAAAATCACATGTAGAATCCAAGAATCATCAAATAGGTAAGCAAAATAGATTTTGTAGAGCATGGGTTACCTCTTGAAGACTTATCCTTCACTTACAACACTCCACAAGGCTCCCAATAAGGTTCCCTTTCCACACCCACTTCAAGAACACACCAAAACAACATGAAGATTTCACCTTTATAAAAAGATACCTTAGAAAACACTAAAAACACAAGAGGAGCTTAGATCTTACCCTCTTAGATGCTCAAAAGTATGAAAGGTAGAATCTTGAAGGAAAACTTGAAAGATCTTGGTAGCCCTAGGTGTGGCTTGGAGAGAAAGCTAACTAGCTTTTAGAGAGAAGAGAGAGAGCTTATGATTTTTCTCTTAGAGAGTGTTTGAAGAAATGAAATGTGTCTTCCTAGGTTAGCTTGAAAGACTATTTCCAAGGAAATGTCTTATTTACCCTTACTAAGATGAAATGTGTAAGGGAACAAGGGAACAACTCACAAAGCTTTATGTACAACTTTTGACTTTGGGTTGACTAGTCAATTACCAGTCCCCGACTATTGAATTTTCAGAAATTTAAGGAATTAAATTACCAATTGAATTATGATTAATTATCAATTAATTACTTAATTAATCCCTTAATCAAATTTGGATTACGGGGTGTCACATAATTTGCACACACTATCACGCATCAATGCACACTACACCGTTAGTAATTACTTAGGCAATAAAAAACTTACATGCATAGTAACACACAGGCCAAGTGTTGTTGCAATCTTTAATAGCGGAAAAAAAAAAACATTATGCCAAGTCTATTATGTCATGAATGCACACACATGGTCATTACATTCGTATACCCCCGACTTACTCACAATAAAAAATAATACACACAACATGATGCGAAGACTCCCACCCAGTTATTTACACACGCCGTAACACACCAATGCACACACCCCGTTACCCTTTAATTAGCAACACCAAAAAAAAGCTACATGATGTAACGCACGCGACAAGTGATTCGCACACGCTACTACACAACAATGCAGACATCATCCAATAATTTACACACACCAATGCACTATACGAATCTGATTTTGATATTTATGTTGTTAGTTACTCCGTAATTGTTATTTGTTGGTGGGTGCATGGATGTAGTGGGTGTATGCATTGGTGTGGTATGCCGTGTGCATTGGTCTGGTGTGGTATGCCGTGTGCATTGGTCTGATATGACTTGTGCATTGGTGTGTGAATATGATTTTGTATACGCGTTTGCATTTTCGAGTGGATATAAAGTGCATAGTAGATATTGAATTGTGCATTTCATTTTTTGTTTTTTAATTTACTGGGTAGGTGGAGTGCTATTCCTTTTTGTGTGATAACACTTGTCTTGTGTTTGTGATTTTATGTAGTCATGTACAATGCACATACTGCTTGCCTAACTTGCATCCACCTTTACTAACACTAACAAAAAGGGGGAAAAAATTCAGGTCAAGTCATTCATCGAACTCTATTCGGCTACGCACGCGCGTCATTACTATCATGCATTGGTGTAGTATGGCGTGTGCAAATTACAGGACCGGGGCTTTGCATCATGTCGTGTTTTGTTTTTGTTTTGTTTTTTTTTTTTTTTTGTTTTTTTTTTTGCAAAACATATTTCAATCAGTTCTAAACATATTTAACCACATTCACTGTCGACCTGCAGCTTCTATTATAACAAATGGAAAAAAAATGAAAGAAATCCATTCCTATTGAACACAACAACTAGTATATATTTTTTTTTAAAAAAAAATCCATTCCTATTGAACACAACAACTAGTATACTATGATGAAGCTCTCACCAAATATCTATACCATGTTAGGCCTCTGCGAAAGCAAGAGATTATAGAACTTATCATGCAAGAAGAAATAATGCTTTCCCTTGCTATCGACAGATTTCTTCCACCCACACCATCCACCATTAATTATTTTCTTGAGATCATCGCTGCCCATATCTATTATTTTA